TGCTCCTAGTGTCTGTGGGAACATTTGATGTGCACTATAAATCTGAGCATCTGCCATGGCTTTGAAAGCCTTGAGAGATCTCTAGGTAGTGAAGGCAGGTAGTCTATGCTTGAACTCCTACAGAAACAAGGCAGAATTTTTCTTTTAAACTTTGTATTTCTTGGAATAGGAGGCACAAGTCTGACTAGACGACTCACTTGCTGCAGTTTAGGCCTCAGCTGTTACTATTTTTGCCCCATCACTTGGCATGCAATACCTGAATTCCTATCTCCTTCCCAGTATGGCTGTTTTTTTCCTAAGTCTGTGCTCTAAGTGGCTCAATGCAATTACATTTTTATAGCATCTAGCAAAATGATTCTTGTTAGATATCTTGTCAATGGTATTTTGTCTGCCTTTGGTTTACCAAAGGGGTATCGGTGCCACTAATAGTGGAATTAGAAAATCACAACATCAAAAACTGGAAAACATTTATTGGAATGATTGGTAATCTTTCAAATGCTATAGTAGACAAGGAGTCCTTCCATATTTAATTTGTTCCTTTTTTTTCTTGAATGGTAGGTACCAATCCCTACAGTATTTGTATCCAATACTGTGAACAGATTTTTACCTTGAGGTTATGGTCCAGAAGAAGCAAATCACCTTTAGGTGATTTATAGAAAATAGAGGAGAATGTGTCATAAGACAAATGCAGTTAAGTCTCATAAAAATCAAAGGCGTAGTGGAAATAATCTTCTAGAGCAATACAATACATTTAAGTAGTATGCTGTTGAGGTTTGAAGGGAGAGATTACTTCTGACTTTAGGCTGCAAGATGAAGTGTTACCTGAAAGAAGCAAGTTATATCTTAAAGGGATTTAATTGGAGCCTATGATTTTTAAGTGTGTTATTGTTGAGAAAGTGCAGTATTGTAGAAAGAACATGGGCTTTGGAATCAGACTTAGCTACGCATGATTTTCAACTCTGCCATTTATTTAATAGCTGTATTATGTCACATCATTTCATTTCTTTGAACTTGAGTTTTCGCATATGTAACATCATAGGGGAATTGTGACGATTTAAATGATTAAATGGGATTACATTTCTCAAAGCACCTAGCAAAATGCCTTGTGGTACCTAATTGCCTTTCAATAAAGGTTAGTTGCTTTTTTCTCTTATCTCTTTCATTTCAAAGTCCCTCTGTGCCATTAGCTTACTTGAGAACTTGGAGGCAGGGACTCAGGTAGGAGGCAGTTGCAGTAACTCATTCATCAAGCACTTGCTTGCCTTTTTGGTGGAAGTGCAGAGGAAAACATTAATTATCTAAAGAGGTGTTTCAGAAGTGGAATATGGATAGGAGCCAAGAACCACAGGACAACTAGGGAAAGTGGGACAGAAGAGGTTAAATCAGAAAAAAAAAGGTTAAACTGATTTACATATAGTATAATCTCTGGCATCAAACTACAGAAAGTCAAATTGATTGTTTCTCTCTGGAAAGGATTAGTCTTTAATCATAGACAGTGACCCGGGGCTGCAGATCCTGAATAGACCCAGAGCGCAGGCCCGGCGAGTGAGTGAGCCGACCGAGGGCCCACCGGATCCTGAATAGACCCAGAGCGCAGGCCCAGTGAGTGAGATGACCGAGGGCCCACGGGTCATCTCACTTTTTCTGAATAGACCCAGAGCGCAGGCCCGGTGAGTGAGTGAGATGACTAAGGACCCGCAGATCCTGAATTGACCCAGAGCGCAGGCCCGGCGAGTGAGTGAGACGACCAGGGGCCTGCTGGATCCTGAATAGACCCAGAGCGCAGGCCTGGCATGTGAGTGAGACCACCCAGGGCCCGTGGATCTTCATT